GAAAGCAGGCAGTGTCTTGGGTCTGTTCCTTACCATGTGTCCATCCTCATGCCTGCTCACTCACCCATTAGGTTATTTTTTAAATGACTGAGTTATAAACACCATTCAGGTTACTAAGCGAGGTAGTACAGGGGACACAAATAAATCACATGTTCTCAAGAACCTTAGAGTCTAGTAGGCAAAAAAGACCAAGCAAATAAATAGCTACGCAACAAAGAAGGTGACAGGTGCCATAAGAGGGGATAGATAAATGGCTAGGAGCAATCAGATGGGGGTGGCCTCTTGTCCTGCCCAGACAGACGCATCCTATGGCTGAGTCGGCTGACTTTTCAAAAGAGAAGAGAAAAAAGAACACTCGCCGGTCTGGCACCAGTCCTAGCACGGGAAACAGGCGGGACCGATTTAAAACAACTAGAGGCAGGTTAGAGCCTTTTCTGGCAAGTCCCAAAACTCTTGGGGCTGACCAGATAACCAGATAGAACCAATACTGTCAAAATCCTACGGATTTTTACAAAATCATTCAGCTGTTGCCAGGATGATAAAAGACTCTTGCCATTCAAAGGAAAGGTCCAGGCTCAGAGGAAGAAGGGGTTGCTGGGAGAGGAGGAGGGGGTTGGGGAAAAAAGGGAACGCCCTACAAATATAGATCAGGGTTAGGGAGAAAAGCCAGACGGCCAAGGACATTTATGCATTGTAGTTGCCTTACTACCTAATTAATTCAGTAATTTCAAAAACAATTTTATTTATGTTCCATTTACCACATCAAAGGTGAAAAAAAATCCTACTGATGCTAAAATAATACCTCAAGGCATCTATTTTTAATCAGTTTTTTAAAAAAGCAAGGGGTGGAGGGAGAGTTTGAAAAAAAAAAAACAAAAACTCGCCCTGAATCTCTCTTGGGCAGACCACCAACCCTGAGAGAGAGAGAGAGGGAGAGAGAGAGAGAGGGAGAAAAGAGGAGAGAGGAGAGAGAACACAGCCAAGCTCTCTCCGAGAGCCTTCCTGGCTGCTGAAAACCAAGCTTGTCAAAAAAAAAAAAAAAAAAAAAAAAAAAAAAAAAAACCACAAATCCATAATGGCCCGAGGCTCCTCTCCAATCTATTTTCTGCTCAGCTGGTTTTAAATGAAGTTATTATGAGTCATTAAAACACCCGCAAGCCAGTGGAAGTCAGCCAATTACAATTTTAAATTTAGCCTGTTCTCTGCCCCATTCTCTTGTTTTCTTCCTTTGCCCACAGAATGCTGCTGCTGTTATTTTTTCCCTCCCTTCCTTTACCCAAAGTGAAAGAGACAGTTATGAAAATGCATAGTATTGCACAGAGCACAGAATCATTCATATGAAACTCAAATTATTAAATTAAAAAAATGCAAACTTCTGCCCCCTCCAAAGTCAACCCAAGTCTTGCCTCAGCCCATTGGATTCCTCAGAAACTCCAGTCTGAGCCCTAAAGGTCATGGGGCTATTTTTAAAATGAAAAGGTTCTTCCGTGGGGTCTCGTTGAGAAACGTTCACATCCATCACACAAAATCAACATTTTCATGGCTGAATCCAAAAGGTTGAAACACCACCACCATCTGAGAATTAATAACCAACAATGAAGCTGATATTCAAAGGTAAAGCAGGCTTTGCAATCAAGCATGAATGTCGGTGGAAGTCACTCGATATGATGAGCTCATTTAGTTTTTAAATCTTCAAGGTAATGGTCTGTGTGGGCCCATTACAGCCAAGGAACAAATTTGAGTATTTCATGTAAATGATTCTTCTCAATCTCCTTTTTCCCATGCTTGCACACACAAACACACACATGCACACATGGTGTTCTGATGAGGACTCTGCCCCCCATTTCTGGGACCATCACCGCAGGTATTTTCCATACCCTCTAACAAGTGAGTCCCTCTACCCAAATGACTGTCCAATCCAGCAATCTTTGCCAACCTCAAGTAATGGATGAGTCTGCAAGCTCCACAGAACAGATGCCCACATGTCTGCATACACTCACCTCCAGGCCCCTTCTCCCTCATGGTTACACACACACACACACACACACACACACACACCAGTCCTCTGCCCCACCATAGTTACAATTCTACTGCCACAAGAAGGAAGGAGAGCCACAGCCACAGACCTAGGCAGTTGAGCACCTGGGAGAGGAGTGGATGCCATGCCATTTCATTGACAGTCACCAAGGGTCAGTGTGGAGGCCAGGGTGCTACCAAGAGGGGCTGCCTACCTGGTGGTTCTAGGTGAGCTGGAACTCACGGTCCATCCCTACCAAGGAGCCTCTCTGAGAAGAGCGTGTGAAATACTATGACATTTCCAGACCCACTGCGACCTGGGGCCATTTACCAAAGGCAGAAGGATTCAGCCTGACCTCTATGGAACATAGACCTGAGGCCTGTGAGCCCAGATGTCCCACGCTCTGAAGGTCCCCAGAGCTGGGCAGATGTCACCCTCCTATCCTCAGCCCTGAGCCACCCCACTCAGTAGTTCCAAGTGGGGCCCCTCAACAGCAACCTCTCACGTGTTCACCAAGGCCTGAAGCTTCAGGCCTCTCCCTGGCACTGGCCCCTTCCCTGGGAGGGGCTCTAACACTTGGTATTTATAATCCTTTTCTGAGAGATGGCACCCAAAACTGAGTACGCATCAGGCCCCACCAAACCCAGGTCTTCCCTAGTTGTACAAACACTTTTATAACATGACCTTCACGTATTTGACAAATACTATCAGTGCACAATACTCCTATGCACCAGGCACGCTGCCAGGGCATGAATGTGTGAGGGCGGCTGCTGAGTCCTGCACTCAGGTGCCCAGTACAGGCCCAGGCGAGCGCAGCACCACCAAAGTCCAATAAGGACCTTGCAAAGCCTAACCCTGCGCAACCACTTGCCCGTCCTCAACACAACTGGGGTTTTGAGGGAACATCCAGGGACCTAGGAAAAGCAGGGTCCAAGCCAGAAAAGCCCCACTCTGGTCCCTGAGAGGCAAGGGATAGAGCACATGAGGTTCTAGGTGCTGGGAGTACTCTAGGAACACTGGCTCAGGAGTCCTTCCCTTTGGGGAGACCTCTGGGCCAGAGTGACATTTTGCTTTCCACTCCAACCACTGCCCAGCTTCCAAGCTAAAAAAAACTTTGAGGTAGTGGGTTAGGGGAGGGAGACAGAGACAGAGAAAGAGACAGACAGAGAAGAGACCAACCAAGACAGATGGAGACAAAGACAGATGAAGACATAGGAAGGAAGACAGAAAATACAAGAAGGAAGTCAAGAAAAGGCTGAGGCACAAAGGACAGGGGCAAAGAGATGAAGTGAGATGAAAGCAGACGGGGGAGAAATAGAAGGAGAAGAGAAGAGCAAGGCTGAGAAATCAATACCTGCCACCACAGAGACCTCGACGGGAGCACTGAGAGTAAGCGCTGAGGCCCAAAGCGGGGTGGGGCCTCTCGGACACAGCCTGACATGCAGAGACCCAGGCCCAACCTGATTACAGGGCTAGAGAATGCGGCTGAGGGCAGGAGAAAACAAGGCAAGGCCTCCTAAGAACCGTTCTGGCAGGGTGCATGTCTGGGAAGCTGAGGGCAGACAAAAAGGCCCTGGAAATCAGAGATGGCACCGCCACTATCGGGTTGATCCCATGTAAATATCCTTCCAATAACCCCTTATCTATTCATCCTCAGACAAAAACAAGGGCCAGCCAGGCAGCCCGGAATGTAGGAAGGATGGAAGGAGCAAAGAGGAGGAAAAGGAGACCAGGAGAGTAAACATCAGACAGACAGATGTCCCAGCATCCATCCCTCCAGGGCACCATTCATTTCCTAATAAGAGCGTCATCCTCGAGCTGTGCAAAATCATGTGGTGGCATGAGAGAGGGTATGTGTGGAAGAAACCACCCTATGCTGAGATAGAAAAATCATCGAGAGAGAGAGAGAAGGAAGAAGGTTATTACATAATTTCCACTTTCTTCCCTCCACCCTCAAAGTAATGTTCTATCTGACAGGCTCCTCTCTGAGGGGGGGAAAATGACAAATCCAATCCAAAATTCAACAGCCTGTGTTCTGTTCAGACAGCACACAGTGTACTGTACAGCCCATAAAACTCCAAACAGCCTCCAGACACTGCCGCAATCGTCCTCCATCAAAACACTTTGTCTTGCATACAAAAATAAGATACAGCGCTGAACAGAATACAAAATCAGCCCATTACAGTACAGGGAGACTGCTACTTAGCAACGAGGGGGCTCTAAAGCCTCCATGCTCTACAGGAAGCAAAATCTGTCGAGCCTGTTGGGCAAATGATAAACATTAGCAGTATTAAAAAACACAAAAGCCATGTAAATGGATAGACATAATGTGGAAACGAATTTATAGAATAAATTGGGATGGGGGATTTGCGGGGTGGGAGAAGAGGCTGGGATCCAGAGGGGTAGATGGAACGAGCTTCCCCAACCCCTGCTAAGGCACCATATGGAGATGGAGACATGTGTATTTGGGGGCAGGGACATGTGAACCCCCTCTTCACACAGGGGCTGTAGGTGAAGGGGTGGGAGAGAAGCGGTGAAAACGCTGTTTACAACCATGACCTGCCATGAACTTTCCCAACTTTCTCCGTTCTCCTGGCCTGACTAGGGCTGGAAGACCCAGGCATGCATATCCTCAGCACGAAGCGGGCACTTATGTGGGGCACTTATCTGCCCTGGGGCTAGCATCACACCCAGAACCATCACGGAACCTGATACTGCTGTAAACAAAATCCCTGGCCAAAAAACAGAAACCAAAAACAACCCAGACAACAAAACCCAAAACACCCCATCTGGGCTGGAAAATCAGTATATTTCATCAGGTAAAGGGGAAAAATACTCTGGCTGTGAATCAGCAGCAGGGTTTCGGATCTCAGCCAAAACAGGAGCTAAAAAGCAAAACCATATTCTTCTGGTCTCAGTTTAGGCTCTTGAGGCAGAATGCGAGAAGGGGCGGGGGCGGAGGTGAGGGGGGACTGAGGATGGGTTGGGGGGAGAGTAAAAGGGGAGAGGAAAGAAATGTATTTTTCATCAGCCAGTGTATAATTTATAAACAGCATTAAACAGTTTTTGTTTTCTTTCTCCTCTCTCCCGTGTACGGGCTTGGACGGTAGTCAAGCCTGCATTAATTTCTGCTTTGGGTACAGTGTGTTCTTGGAGACGCATCTGCAAGCGATCATAAACGCGCTGGAATGCTGGCAGAACATCCAGACCTGCCGGCAGGCCAGTGACGACACCACTCTGGGAAAAAGTTCGGGAAGGAAGCCAAATTCAGAGTAGGGAGAGAGAGAAAGAGAAGTGTGTTCAAGAGCGAGCTGGAGGAAAGCGGCTCCCTTCACCCTTTCCTCTCTCTGCATCTACATCACCCATGCGGACTGAAGGGAGGGCAGCCTGGCCTCTGAGCCACCCCCATCTAATCTTCTCCATTTCCTTGACCTGAAAACCAAAGGTGCCCCGCATAAGGCATGTGGACAGAGTGGAGAAACCTGAGCAAAGTTTCTTCCTGGTGACCTCCCGGGTTTGCCCTGATGGTAGGAAGCTAACCAGAAGGGAAAGCTGGTACTGACTGGAGAGGGGGCAGAGGGTGCATGGAGTGACTATGGGCTCTCACAAGCCTGGGCAGCCCCCAGTCTCCTGCCCTGAACAGATACCCAATCTGGGAGGAGAGAGGTGAACGTGAGGAGAGGCAAGGTGAGGGGAAGCCATCTTTGGACCCAAAGGCACCTCTCCAATCGTCAAGGTGGGGACCACCTCACAGCATCTCCACACAGTTACAGGGAATCTTCTGGCTACCTTTCTCCCCTACCTTCTCTGTCTTGGAGAAGAAACTGAAACCCATAGCTCAGTGCTCCAAAAAAAAATAAATAAATAAAACACAACAAGGACAACCCACAGATCTTTGCCATCTTGTAATGTTTTTTTTTCTTTCTTCCATCCGACCATGGCAGAGGAAAGCAGAAGAGATCCAATCTGGTGGACCCCTCCAGCCCTTTTCCCTGCCAGAAGGATGACCGAGGTCCCAGGTGATATGCCCCAGCCACTCCATGCTGCTGCTGAAATCAGAAACTCTATCAGCCAAAGCCCTCATTCTTTTCCCCATGGCTCTGACTCTGGGGAAGAGCCCCAACGCAGGAACACTTCTCAATAGCCAGGCTCACAGTGCCTGACAAGAGTAAGAGAGAAGTGGGAGGATGGGGCCTGCCACCTGGCAGAATGGGGCCACATGGCCCTAACCAGTGCAGAAGGCACAGGCCTTTCTACACTCCAGCCACACCCCAACATAGAGGGCCGGTCTTCATGTTCTCCAAGGGGCTTTACTCAGCTTTTATTCTAGCCTTGTCTATATCAAAAAGCCCAACAGTCCTTCTATTCCAGGCACAAAAATATGTCACCCTACTATGCCTTCAGTGGCTCTCCAGTGTGTCAGGGACAATGCAGATCATTTTGTCACTCCTTCCAGTTTTACCCCATCCATCTCTTCTAGACCCTGCCCTCTCCTCTCTCCCCGCAGGCCCAGCCTACGCTCGCGGGTTACACCACCCAGCTCCATAGGTGGCTTGGGCTTCCCCAAACTGAGACCTTTCAAAATGCCATTCTGTTATCCTCTGGCGCAAAACTCCCTTTTACTCCGAATTTCTCCGAGAATTCTTGGCATGCTGCACACACTACCATCTTGTGTGATGATTGAATAGTCATACTGATCTCCCTCTTTAGACTTAAGCTCCTTGAGGGCAGGCATGCGGGTAGCAGTCTTCACTGTTAAGAGCACAGAGCCTGACACACAATTCGTGCTTATTAAATATCCCCTAGCTCCAAAAATGAATGACACTCCCAGAATAGGAACAGGCCACATAAATACTCAACCCCTAAGCATATGCAGCCAAGTCAGAAATAGGGGCAAGCAGTTCTAGGCGAGCTCGCTTATGAACCACCAGGACACTAAGTCAAGCTGTGGGAAATACTACCTAATGGGAAACCTTACACTGGCCAATCTCAGAACCAACTTGAGTCGCTGCATGTGTCTGTGGTCTCTGCATGGACATCTCAGAGCTGGGAATCACTTCTCATGTTACAACAGAGAGTGCCAAAGGGACAGTGGATCCACAGATGCTTCAAGTCAGATCCCCACGAGGGGTAAGGTAGCGAGGGTGAGGAGGGAGGTTTCGGAGTCTTGCTGGGACACAGGAAGGGGAGGGGCCACAGTCCTACACCCGAGCTTCACCCTCCACCAGGGACAGCTTTGCAAAGCCTTGGAGGCTATCTCTCTTCCCACCCCAAGCCTCTTCCCAACACTCAAGCCTTTCTGACAGCCCCAAAACCACCTCTGAGAACGCAGGGCCTGGCCAGATCATCTCATTAGTTCATGAGTTAAGTTACTGTGGATTAATTTAAACTTACTGGGATCATCAGGTATATCTCATAAACACTTGATTAGTTAACACAACAAACTGAAATTAAAACTTCAATTAAACCAAAATTCACTACTACCATTTAGGGTCTTTAAAAAAAAAAAACCCTAAAAACAAAGTATGGGAGAGAGAAAAAGGGAAGGCACTGTCTCTCAGAAGGGTCTCCTATACGGCAAACTTCTAATTAAACAAATTGTCAATTTCAACACAATGAATACTGATTTAGGAGTGTAAATTTAGTATTCTAGTCACTGAAAATAAGACCTGCACTGTCAATCTCCTACAGGCTGATTCCATCTGATAGGGAAATGAGGAGGAGAGGAGGAAGACAGCGAGAGAGAGGAGGAAAAACGGCAAAGGAAGAACAAGCTGGAGTGCTGTCGCCCTTTCAGAAATGACATCTCCGCCGAATTTAATGCAGCCTATTCTCGAGCATCGGAGAAACGCTTTTCTTGCCTCCTCCTTCACCCCACCCCAACCAGATTAGAAAAAAAAAAAAAATTAATCGTGTATGATGACAAACTTGGCTCAGCACTCACTGTACATACTGTACCCACAAGTCTGGCTCCCAGCCAGGCCTGGCCTGGAGCCAGAACTACAATAACAAACACAGGCGATGCTAGCCAAGAGGGGGTGGGGCAGCACGCAGAGCTAGCCAGGAAGTGAGCGCTGTTCAGCTCCACTGAGCAGAAGAAAACAGCAGGAATGTGCTGGTGCAAGGGCGGCAGCATCTGGGGGCAACCACGACCCCTGCCCAGATCCTGGACTCGGTCCTCCGCAGTCTGCCCCTTTTGAAAAAAAAAAAAAAAAAAAAAACATGCCCCCCAGCGTTCTGGAGTGACTACTGTTCTTCCAGGCTGTAGGCTGCTTCAGCCCTTGGTCATCATCTGTAAAATGGGTCCACTCTACAGACCTGGTGCCCCCATTCTCACTGTCAGCTTTCTTCACGGAGTCTTCATAATAGAGCAGCAGGAAAACCTCTCATCATCTAATTCAGTGTCTCTTCTAGAACATCACCTAGCTCTGTTTTCAGGCATCTGGCAGTAGGCATCAGAACATGTAAACCACTACTGGAATCTGTAAGCAGACTCAGAGCTACCAGCCCAGCCCAGCCCTCTGACCCCAACTCCCTCAACAAGGCCAGGTCACTCCAGAGGCCCCCAGGGCCTGTTTAACAGGGGCCAAACCATTCAGGAAGTGGTCTAGCCTCACGAAGCCCCTTGTGCTATTTTATTTTTAAGGCCTCTCAGCACGAGGGTGAGGAGTATAACAGACAACAGAAAGAAAAAAAAAGAATAGAAATATCAGACTGTGGGTCGTGAGCTATCTGCAAGGGTGGATTAAAACACTACTATGACTCATCGCACCTGCCTAATCATCAAATCATTCTTTCCAAGGGCACTGGCAAGTGACTAGCAGAGGGACGAATCATTTGACACAATCAGCCTTCAGTGCCCAGTTAAGAAAGGCGTAGAAAGAAAAAACTAGAAAAACAGGACCCAACTCCCAAAGCCTCTGGAGCAGCCATATGAGATCAGGGGATGTGGAAGCGGCAACTCAGGTGCGACCAAAGTCAGCTTCCCCAGGGAACCACCAGCTCCAGATGGGGGTTGCGCAAAGTCACACTCTTGTCTGAACTGGGGACGCCCACCTGACATGAGTATGCAAGCGGTCCTTTCCTCTCTGCAGCTGCTCCCACCAGCCCCACCAATGCTGCTGATGTGTGATTCACAGCAGAGACAGTGGCTAACTCACACTTGGTCACACTGCCTAAAAGAGGGATACGATATGAGCCAGGGGGCTCCTGGCTGACTCCCTGCCCTCCCCCCACTGCCCTGCACAAGGAGTCCTTGGGACATAAACAGTCCCTATCACAGGAAGGCCTCGTCTGGAGAGTGGAGTTTCCTAGAGTCGTTCATCAGCCTCCCAGGCTGCATCATTCACTCAGCAAATACTTCTTGGCTCCAATAATGTGCCAGGCAGTGTGCTGGACATGATGGGGACAGGATCTGCCCCATTACATGTGAGGCACGGTGGTGCCTCACAGCTTCTCTAAGATAGCGTTAAATATTTTCATTTTACAAATGAGGATACTGAGGATGTAAGAGTTTATGGTTCTTGCCCCAGATCACAACAGCAGTAGGTAGGTGCCCAGGTTCCTTCCACCAGGTAACCTCGCTTCCCAGTAGGGGAGATAAGACAAGTCCATAAATAACCATAACACAAAAGACACATTGCCCACAACGATAGCTTCAAATAAATAAATACGGGCACAGAGAAGGCACAATTGCTTCTGGCTGGAGGTGGGGAATAGCTGGGGTTGGCATCATGGAAGGGACCTTGGAAGATCTGGGAAGATGGAAGATAGGTTATTCCAAGTAGACAGAATGGGGTGAACAAAGCCACCGAACTCAGAAAGCAACGAGCCCATAAAGCAAACCAAGAAGATGAGTCTGGCCAGAACCCTGGACTCAAAGAAAGAGCAATAAGAAAAGATGCTTACTAGGGCTGAGAGGGCAAGGAGGCTTCGCCAACAGGCTAGAGGTGCACTGCCCCAAAAGTGCCCAGCACCACCCAGGGGTCTAGGGCAGGAAGCAAAACAAGTGGCAGCCCCACACTTTGCAGTAAGGCAGTGGTGAGCTAAAGCAGAAAAGAATGAGGACCAAGAAAGTAAGAGAGGGGTAGCCAACCTGGTGGGCAGACAGTTCATGAAACCTACCACATCCTGAACCTTAAATAGCATACAAAGTTGCAGGGAAGCACAAAGATACAAGGTGTAAGTCATTAAAACAGAAGAAAACGTGTACGTGAGTGCCAAGCAGATGCGGATGCAGGAATGCCTGGACTCAGGGTGCTGGACCGACGCGAGACAAGCGGGCAGGAGGAGGATGACTGGGTGGAGCCAGAGGCAAAGTGGGGAGGGCCCCCAGGAAGGAGGACCAGAATGCACGAAGACATGGGGACAGCAGACACGCCAAGACAGGCAGCTGCCAGCTACCTGGTGTGGACAGACCCCTGTGCCTGGAAGAGAGAAGAAAGGGAAATGAGAAGGAGTTAGGACACTTTAGGAAGGGCCATGAGAACCGGATGGGCCCTGCAGCAAGGCAGTGGTGAGCTGCAGCAGAAGAGGTGACCGAGGAGCACTTCCACGACTGTACTGACGATGGGCTGCGGGGAGAGAGGGTGCAAACACCCAGGGAGGCAGGGAATGAGTGTAGGGGGACATGCCCTCGGGGCAACAGGCTCAGAAACAAGAATGAGGGAGGAAGGTGCAAGCAGAAACCACTGACATTGATTAAATGCCAACTGTAGGCCAGGGGCTTACTATAGATGCCTTCAACATATTCTGTCACCTAATCCTCCAAAACATTATATAAGTTAACAACACCCGCACTTGACAGATGCAGAAACTGAGGTTCAGAAGATGAATGTAGCTAAGGTCACAGAGCACATATCACAAACAGGATTTGAACCTTTGTCTGCCCAATCCCAAAGCCTATTTCACAAACACCAAACTGCCTGGCGGGCCAGTTTCTGGAGCCAATATGGGGAAAGGAGAAGCAGGCCTTGGCCTACATGAGGAGAAAGCAAAACCAAATGAAAGAACAGTCCTCTTCCTCTCCCCTAAAAAGTGACTCCAAGGTTGGAAGGCAAGAGAATGAAAGGGAAGAGAATACGAGCCTGGCAAAGGAGAGTTGAGGCCTCTACAGCTAAAGTCAGGTGACCTAAGCCTCAACGCCATCAGACCTGCTACCTTCCCTCCACCAAGAACACCCGGGCATGCCAAATGTCAGCTGCTTCTCCCCATTCCACACCTCATGGGGCAGAGCAACTGTGCCCAAACATAAGCAAAATTACCAGCAGTCACACAGCCGACCTTGCTAGAATTGGATAAAATTAACTTGCAAAAGACAGCACGCTATAACTAGCTTTGTGTTCCAACCTTTCCATATCTATTTAATTAAAGGCTCCTGTATAATGTGAACCCAATAGTCAGATTCATTAGATGGTGAGAACCTAATTCCACAATTGTTTCGCTAATGAAACTGCAGTCTACTTTGGAAGGTAGATCACATGGGGCACTGCTGGCCAGTGATGCCTGGGAAACCCTTGAGAGCTTGAAGGTGGGTTCATCCGGGGTGGCCCCGCCATCAGGATGGATCTTCTGTGTCAGGAGCCTGGAGGGAGAGTCCAGGGAACAAGATGGACCAGGGCCCCAGCTGGCAGTGGGGACATGCAGGACACAGCAGGCTCTGAGTAGGGGCGAAGGCAGACAGGAGGTGGTTGCCTGTACCTGAACGGGCCACTGAGGCGACCTTGCCTACCTGAATGAGCCAGTAAGTGCATTCTCAGCCGCAAACTATCCAGGAACCGCTTCCCGCAGAGCTCGCACCCGTACGTCTTCATCCCACTGTGCAGCTTCCTGTAAGGGAAAGGAAAAGAGAGGTTGCTGCTGCTCTGGCTGGAAAGGAGGCAGGGCCATCTCCTACCTGGGTGCTTGGCAACCATCCCTGTGGCAGGTGACAGGTGGAAGGGAGCAGGAGGGCATCAATGGAAACACATCCCTGGATCCTCAGACAGTATAAATCTCGCCCTCTGCCCAGGGACTACTGCCTGTGAAGGACCCATTCTTGGTCTTGTGCACAGGCTTTACCACTGGCACGTGGACCAAGAAAATAAATCAGATCCAATTCCAGAAGGAGGAAGGATGAAACACCCAGGACAGTCAGGCAGACATAATGCTCACTGTCAAACTAGCACAGACCTCATAGGAGGCCCCGAGCCTCTGCTCACCTCTGTACAGCACTGCCGTCCCCGTGTGGAGGCTGTGCACAAGCCTGTTGGACCCAGGAGGGCCACACCTGTATCTCTTCTCTCTCCTAGCTCTAACTCCCATCACAGTGACTGGCATGAAGCAGGCTCTGAATAAGCCTATGAATAAACTAATGGCCTTACAGACACAAGATGCTTCTTTCTCTGGCATCCAGATGTTCTTAGGACTGCAGTGACCCACCCCAACATGCACACCTTTCCCCTAAAGCCTGGCTTGAGAAGTGTCTTCTCTCGTCTTGCCCCAGCAAGAAGCAGAGTTTCAAGAAACCAGGTAATATCATTCTATAAATGTAGGGTGGTCATAGTCATTTGTGGCTCTAAACACACATTCTCTCATTTTGCCATCACTATGATTCTATGAGGTGGGCTGGGACCATGTTATCACCCTGGGGAAGACCGAGGTTCCAGTAACAACTGGTCACAGGCCCAACCTGCAGCAGCGCTCCCATCCCAACTCCCAATGTGGGGCCTCTCCCACCAGACCCCTGGCTCAGTCATGAGCTAGCTTGGGAGCTGGTGAGAGGCAGGGAGCCGAGCACTGGGGAAAGGCTCCAAGCTGCCGCCCACCCACACTCCTGTTGTCAAGCCCATACATGCTATTGCTGGATCCAGGAGCCAGCCTCCACCTCCGCCCCA